TTCCGATTTCCGGAGCCACAGGGGAAACATACTAAGCACGGGCAACGAAAACATATATTTAACATACGAAAACATATATTTAACATATATTTAACATACTAAACTAAGCACGTGTTAAATTATATTAGTATATGTAAAGTATATGATAAACAAATGAAGCGAGAAACATACTAAGCACGGGCAACGAAAACATATATTTAACATATACTTCCTATATACGCAACATATAGGACAAAAATCTCTCTCTCTCTCTCTCTCTCTCTCTCTCTCTCTCTCTCTCTCTCTCTCTCTCAGTCATCATTCATGTAAGCACGCAAACTAAATCCAATATCCCTAAGTAATAATTTCATCTTTCGTGCAAAAAGACAATTCAACTAAACCCGTCGTCCCCTGTCCGCACGTCCATCATCTCCATCATTGATTGTCAGAAATCGAATTTGGAGCCGGCAGCGACGAAGAAAGCCACGGAGCTTCTCCGGCAGTAGAAAATCGATGATCCACGCGGCTCGAACAGAAACACCACCTTTGGAGGCCTAATTTTCCCCAAATCTCGAACTAGAACGGTCAGAGTCGAATAAGGAAATAATGTCGCTTTTGCTACTCTCGCCGCTGGAGGATGGCGTTTTAGAGGTCGGCGACGAGTTGATGAGAGGAAGAGGGAAATGGGAGAATAAGAAAGAGGGGAAGAAGATGGGAGAACAAGAAAGAGATGAAAATTGACGGAAAGAAAAAGGAGAAGATTTTACTACCATAAATTTAGGAATAATATTTTTGGTAACTGATAGAGTTCCCTAAAATTGTGTTTTAGGTATCTTTGCATATAAAGTTGATCAATTTAATTAATATGTAAATAAATACATATGGACTGTAATTATGTAAATAAAACAGTGTTTTAATATGCGTATAGCATAATGCGTCGCGTTTTGATCTTTATAATGTGTAGCGTGAATATCGTAGCGTGTTGCGTAAGCTATTTGTGTATAATTTTTTTTTTTAGAAATATTAAAAATATATTTGCATATATAAACTGGATGGTTGATTACAAAAATTATCATAGTATTTGAATGACTTAAAAGTAACATCTTAGGATTATTTCTCACAAATATTTAATTAAAATATCATCATAATGTAAATATTATAATAATCAATCGAATATACTAAAAAGTAAAAACAAACAACGAAAATATAATGAGATAAGTCATAGTATAATTTTAAGTATATGCATTTTAATTATTATTTTTTATTTAACTACAACATAATTCTAACCATTAGATATGAACTTTTTATTCTTTATTTAAATATCAAATATAGAAAAATAAAATGATATAACAAAAATGGATTTATAAATATTGCACTATTCAATTTAGGACTTTGCATTGTCAAACTTTTAATTTAAAATCATTATCAAAATTTTTAGTTTTCAGTTGTCATTTGTAAATACTATACAACAACAACAACATACCGAGTATATTCCCAACTGGTTGGGGTCTGGGAGGGTCAGTTGTACGCAAACTTTACTCTTGTAATTATACAAGGATGTTGTTTCCGTAGCGACCCAAGGTGCATTGCGTCGTTTGATATATTTTTTTTCTAGAAACTTCACTAACAGAAGAAGCACTAGAATTTAATTGAGCCATTTTGATCTAGTCTATTATTAGCACTATGTCAAGAGAATTGTCAACAATGACTCTTCTAGCTCCATTTGCAATGGACAATCATTTGTAAATACTATGATCCCTAAAAAATATGAGTTTTTAATTATTTTATTGTCCAAATGTCGTTGAAATGTAGCGCACAATAGCAGTGAAATGGCGCAACATAGCGTAAGAAAACGTGCCATTTTGACATTTCGCGCAAGCTTTCGAGAAAAACGCTAGATATATAAGGCTACGTCGCATTTTTCAAAAATAAGCGAGCTATTTAAAACAATGGCATAAAAATGATAACTTTGGTGCATGGCATGATTATTTAATTTCATAGTTGTGAACTTAACATTTTTCCTGCATGGTTCACAATCTATTTAATTTATTGACATATGTCATAATTTATTCTATAATATTAGAGCATTAGAGATGCTCTAGTATGGGCTGAAAAATTGTGGTCAGAAAGGTGCAATATTGCCCCTTTTTATTCCATCTGCTAAGCAAATTGGATTATTGCTCATCACCCTACACAGCAATCACCTAGTATTTTTAACCGTTTGAATCTACATACAATTAAAAATTACTTTCTCTCTCCTCTGGTCCCGTTTCCCCCAAATTTGCAGAAAACCCTAGTTTAACAAATCGACGGTTGCCTTCTCCAGCGGGCCGCCGGGCCTCGACGGCGGCCACCTCTTAGTTGCGCGAGTCAGTCCTCCTTAGCTGATGCCGTTATTCTCGAGCGGAGTGGTTGTATGGCTGGATCCGAAAGGGCTTTCGCCGCTATCCTTGGTTGCCTTTTGGACCGTGAGTCGTCGATCTTCCGGGCGGGCAGCGGCGGAGGTGCGGTGGGGTTGGGTTGCGAGCCTGACGATCTTGTTGGTTGTTGGGTCCGAGGAGAGTGGACTCTGCTCTTGGTCCCGTTTGCTCCTGGTGTAAGGGCCGATGGGACGGCTGGCGTGACGAACCGGGCCGTGGTGTGGACTGGTTTCAGATCGCCGGCGTTGTGGTGGGGGTCTGAGTCTGTTTTTTCCTTCGGCTAAGAGGTGGGGTTGGTCGCCTGGATGTGGTTTCGAGTTCGTGGGTTTTGGTTCCAGTTAGGCGGGCGTTGCAGTTTCTGGTTCGAAGACTAGGGGCGAGATCCAGTCCGAATAGGTGGTCGGCCTATTGTGCTGTAGTCGTGGTTTCAGTGTTTTTGTCCGTCTGCGAGAAGGGCTTTATTTTGTGTTTAGGGGTGATTTTGTCTGTAGGTTGTGATTTTTTTGTGTTTCTCTGTATTTGGTTGTTTTTTTTGTCCTGTTGGGACCTGTTTATTATCCCATTGGGACCTGTGTATTCTCCTGTTGGGAGTTGTGTATTCTCCTGTTGGGAGTTTTTGTTAGTGTTTGTGGGTGTGTTGTGGTAGCTTAGGCTCCCGTATGGGATGTCCTCCGACTAGATTCGGCTGTTGGCCGGTTGCTAGTTGTATTTGTGTATTCTTTTCGTTTTTATGAAAGTCTATCGTTTCGAAAAAAAAAAAAAAAAAAAAATCTACATACAATTCATATGGATCAAAATAAAGTGTGTAAATCGATGGAGAAGAATCCGTAACACAATTATAATCGAACGAATATGTTTGTTATTTTTGTAAAAATATATTATGGGGGATGGGCCAAAAGCCCACTAGTTAGGTTGTCTTATGATAGTAAATTGTAAATCATATCCTTGCCTGTATATTAATTCAAAACGTGTTGAGTTTAGGTGACAGATTCTCACGTTTCGAATGCTGACATGGCGAAATCTATGCTTCATGATGTTGTTTTTATATTATTTGTACTCTGGAGTTAGATTTGGTACTGGACATAAATAACTTTACACATATATTCATTAACTCAACACTCATGTTGTACATAGATATTAGTACTAGTATATATATATATATATTAGGGAACGATTGAGGCTCTCCATCTTGTTGTCTCTTCTGCTTCTTATATTTCTTGGATTTGCTTTCTGAATAATGAATGATTGAGGATTGAATTGAAGGGTTCTAATTTACAATAGTTCTCTCTTATTTTTTTTTTCTTTTTCTTTTTTCTTTTTTATTCGTGACAGGCAACTTGAAGCAAATGGCTCCTAATTTATTTAGAGATAAATAGTTATGGAAATATATATATGATAATCAGCAACTGCCATAAATTCAATCTGAGCCATGAAGTACTATCCACCGCCAAGGCTCTGGACATGTTGTCTGCTTCATAGCAGAATAAAGTATATGCTAAAATAATTAATAAAAAAAAAATCAGGGGTCCAATTTCCCAAATTTGGCATGTTCCTAGATTGTAAAGACTCTCCTCACCTTCTGATCAGAGACATAGTTAAGGGCTGTGTCTTTGTCAGCCCCTCCACAACTACTTCCATAACATCATCTCCATTTATTATTATTATTATTTATTATTATTATTATTATTATTATTATTATTATTATTATTATTTTTATTTGCTTTACTTTTTCTCACTCTGGAATATAGAATTTAATAGCCGTACGTTGGAAAGAGCACCATGAAATTCATTCTTGCAGAGTTTCATTTCATTTCTTGGGTAAGCTGTAAGCAAACCATGTGACGGCAGAGGCAATATGAACAAATAATCTGGCTACAGAACACATATCACCAAAAATTGATCACAATAATCATAATTTTAGTCCATGATAACACATATCCCAGGGAACAATCTTAAGCATAAAAAAATATATCTAGGAACAACCGAAGCACGAACGTACAGAGAAAAGGCTCGACTGCACGGGTTTAGGATTGTGCTCGATGTTCTTATTACGAGGAAGGTGTTTAAGGAACGCCTTCACAGCTCCTGTCACCCCATCTTCATCTTCCATTGCTTTTGCAAGTTCAATTGCACTTTGCTTAACCTGCCAAAAAAAAAAAAAAAAGGGTAGAAAATTTTTGCTTAGCTAATGCTTAAAATGCAAAGATTGCAGTATTATATAAGTGCCATATATCAAATTAGTGAGGAGTGAACGTTTGTATTTATTTAATCACTCAAAAGAATTTTGGCGAGTCTTAAAAATGGATTATCAGATAAGAAAAGGAAACTCGTGAAATATAGAATTTGGTTACCTTGGGATCTAGCATACAATTAATTGCATCTACCAGCTTTTGAAGTGAAAATTCCTCGACTGGGATTGGAGCAGGACCGACGCCCCTGGCATGAACTCTCTCCCCCCAAAAAGGTTGGTCGCCAAAGAAAGGAATGATAGTCGTGGGGCACTGTATCGCCAAATTATAAATTTTTTTTTGCCAAAAAAACCAATACATTATCATGCAAGTAGTGAGGAAAAAATGTTGCACGAGCAGAAAATTTAAAACACTAATTCATGTAGTAAATCATTACCGCAGCTTTTAGACCGGCAGCCGTTGTTCCAGCACCCCCATGATGCACCTAAAAATTTTGAGAAATAAAAGAGCAGCTCCGTTTAAGGCTAATAAATGCCTCAAAATAGACATGTAAAGATTCCTGGGAAATTGCATGACTAACTAGCAGCTTACATACAAGGCTCATTGTAAAGTTTTCAGGAGCAACATTAAAAAAAATATCATTCACAATGCATTTTCGTGCCGCAGGAACAAAGAAAATCAAATTTAAATTTCTACTAAATATGACTGACAGGAATTTGTATATGCATCAGGTTTCAGAATCGGAAAATAACCTAAGTTTTAAGCAAGTTTTCACAAGAAAATTAAAGATCAGTGACCAGATTGAAAAAATAATGAAATGGATCCTGGTAGAGAGAAATCTAATGGGGACATGAACATTTGGTAGCAAGTCCTTGATAAATAATCAAAATGGCCAGTACAAATCCATCTAAATAGGAGAATACAGCTAGAGTGGAAATGAAAAAAATAAAGAAAAATAAGATATTTCATAAAAAAAAAAAAAAA